AGCATGCTTTTTGTACCCAGCGGTCACAGCCTCCAAACGAGCCCGGGCGGACTCATGAACGCGCCGTAAATCCGCCATCAACTCCTCGGCACGAGGCTCGGCCGCCACAGTCGACGGAAAGACGAGCAAGTCCGCGGCCCCTCGCAGACGGACGACATAGACGACCTCAAACGGGGAAAAGCCCGTCGCACGACTCCGAGTCGAGTTATGAGCGAACTCAGCCTGCGGGAGTCGCTGGTCCCAACTCTTCAGGTTCTCACCAACCAAACAACGCAATAAATTGCCAAGCGACCTATTGACAACCTCCGTCTATCCGTCTGTCTGAGGATGATAAGCGCTACTAAAGTCTAACCGAGTGTTGGCCAGACGCCACAAACTCCGCCAAAAATGGCTAAGAAAACGCGTATCACGATCAGAAACAATAGACGACGGCAAACCATGCAAACGATAAACCTCCCGAAAAAATAAAGTCGCCACATGGAGGGCATCTGCAGTCCTCTTGCACGGTATAAAATGGACCATTTTAGAAAAACGGTCGACGACCACAAAGATAGAACCATTACCTCGCTGTGTACGAGGCAAACCCAGGACGAAGTCCATACTAATAGCAGTCCACGGACGCGAGGGAATCGACAAGGGCCTGTAATGGCCGACATTGGACGCCACAGCCTTAGACACTTGACATATGCGGCAATGCTCCACGAAACGAGCCACATCTCGACGCAAAGATGGCCAGAAAAAGGGGCGACTGACCAAGTCAACAGAACAATCGCTCCCCACGTGCTCAACCCCATGAAGGTCCGCCACGACCTTCAGACGCAGGCTACAGTAGGGAATACATAACCGAATGCCATGGAATAAGAAACCATTAGAAAGAACATAACCCTCAACAGGGCCAGAGGCAAGTCGAGAAAAAATGGGACCCGAAAAAGGAGTCCGTAGCATACAGATCCTTCAACAAATCAAACTCCACAACCACAACCCACATATCAGTCAACAACAAAGAACGGCGACTCAAGGCATCCGCCACGCGATTCGAAGCACCAGAGCTGTGCTTCAGAACAAAAGTGAATTGCTGGAGATATGTGTTGTGTTCGCTAGTACCGTACGGGCTTTAAGCAGCAGAATTTAAATTTTTTCAAAGTAAGTATTTATCGTATAAATACAACACCCGTACATACTAATTGCGAATTAACTGATCGTCATCTTTAAAACATGCATCATATACAAATTTTGATTTGTTATATAAAAGTAAATACCAGTACAAATATTTACCGATTTGTCTTGAACTCCTTCACAAACGATGAACTTGAGGGAATCGGTTCCCGGTTTGATAACTTCAACGAATTGAGGTTACTCGCTTGAGGAATCCAAGTGTCTTCCCTCTAACAGTATCCACCCTATGAATCCCGGTTCCGACGACCTTCCTTCGCTAGTAGGAATGACTCGGTTTTCTCGTATAGGAATTTATATGGATTTAATTTAGGAAACTCTCAAGAACTTTTCTTGTTATTGTGAAGAACTTTTCTTCTAACTCTTAAATTTTAAGAACACTTTCTTGAAAATCAAATTAGCAAATTTATGTAAACCATTTACATCTATTTATACTAAACATTTTAGCATAAAATAATCAATATTTAGTAATATTTAAATAAAATCTGATTTTATTTAAATACAATTACTAACTATTGACTTTATATATATTAAACAATGTGAGGTGGTTCATAACCACCATTAACCACCATTTATTATATTCATAATAATAGAATAATAAATCTTGAGAATCTATTCCAAGACTTTATTATTATATTCTTTTCCCAATTTTCATCCATATTATAATAATCATATTATTATTATTTTGGATTTGAAATTTAAAATCCTATTTTAAAATTCAACTTTATTAATTTAGTAATTACCTTAATTACTAAAGTAATATCCAAAATGTAATTAATCAATCTTATTGATTAATATATTCCTTTAATTGACATCTAATCAAATTAGATATTTATCAATTAATTCTAACCATTAGAAATACAATCTTTACCTTTGTTCATAATTAGTGTGACCTTTTAGGTTCACCTTAATACTAGTAGTGGGTTTATAACACTTTATAATTTGAGTTAAATCTTATTAACTCTTATTCATGAATTAACCCTTTAATTCATGAACCCACATATCATGGGAACACCTAGCAAGTAGCATGAATCTAGTATTAAGTGAATAGCGAGTAAACCTATTCCGATTACAACTCCATACATGTAAAATCCTTTCGACATCTAATTTCCCGATTAAGTCTTGGGTATGATTTTGCCGAAACCCAAATTGACTTAATAACTATGATTCTATTTCAAGTTTATTAACCCGGTTATGAATCACTATTCATCTCTGCCTTGGCCAAGGACTTTGGATTAATAACTATGAAACACATAGGAAATTCACTTATCTTCATAAGTGTCGAATCCTTTATTGGCCACTAACAAACTTCCATACATATTAACATAATACCCAACTTATCCCTTTAAACGATAGTGCTAGCTACCAAAAGGATAAATCAAAGTAGAATGTAATATGCACAAAGTTACCATTGTGCCTCAAGTCTTAGGATTAGTCATGTACTATTGTAACATGAAAATTCTTATTCGACTGAATAAATTCTTCATTAAGAATTTTCATACGGTCATGTTCAGTGAACTTGTTCTCTAACAAGCACCCACATAAATGTACTTACGTCTTACGCTAATGTTGATGGAATGCAACATTCTTATCCAACAAGCGTACAAACTACGTGCAAGTCTTTTATGGATTATTCGATATCCCATCTCGAAACATCAATCGACTTGGAACTGTTTTTAAAATCACAGCTTTCAAGGTATGTTCCATGATCACCATCTCTATGCGTAACCATACCTTATAACTATATGTGATCTAGGGATTTTATCTTAAGTGCAATTATAAGATAAATGCTTTCTCTTAAGATAAAGAAATGCCTTATTAATAATATAATTCCAATAGATTGTATTTACAAGTAGAATACGTCCAATTAGATTGGAACGCCGGGTACCCTACTCTAACAATATGATGTCCAGGTAGCATGACGAGAAGAGAAATTACCTTGAGAGCAAAGGTGGCGAAGGGCCTCATGGTCGGTGAACAAGACAAACTCCCTCTGAACGAGAAAATGCCTCAAATAATGGGCTGCACAAAACACAACATAGAACTCGACGTCATACGTGTTGTAGCGCAGCCGCGGGCCCGACAACTTCTCGCTAAAGAAAGCGACTGGGCGCCCCTCCTGGCTCAACATGGCACCAATCCTGACCTTCGAAGCATCGCAAGAAAGCTCAAACGGGAGAGAAAAATCAGGAAGGACCAAAACTGGGGCAGATGTGAGCTTGCTCTTGATAAGATCAAAAGCAGCAGCGGCCTGAGGGGTCCAGACGAAGGACCTGCCGTGAAGACAGTCTGTAATAGGCGCGGTGATGGAACTAAAATGCGAAATGAACCGTCTATAAAACGAGGCTAACCCGTGGAAACTACGTGCCTCCGTGAATGAAGTCGGAGTAGTCCACTCCAGAATAACGGCGACCTTAGTGTCGTCGACGCGAATGCCAGCAGCAGAGATGACAAAACCCAAATAGAGGACCGAATCGACCACAAAAGAACACTTATGAGGCACTGCATAGAAGGACTCGGACCTCAAAATCTGTAAAACTGAAAGAACGTGCCCCAAATGCTCTAGAATAGTGAGGCTGTAAATGAGGATGTCATAGAAATAAACGACGACACACTTCCCAATGAGACCGCGCAATGCCTGGTTCATCACACGCATAAACGTGTTAGGTGCATTAGAAAGACCAAACGGCATCACCAGTCATTCAAAAAGGCCCTCACGGATCTTGAATGCGGTTTTCCACTCGTCGCCCGGCCAGATCCGAATCTGGTGATAACCACTCCGAAGATCAAGCTTGGTAAAAACCGAAGAACCATGCAACTGGTCCAGCAAGTCGTCGAGGCGTGGGATAGGTAACCGATAGCGGATCGTGATCTTATTAATAGCACGGCTATCGACACATATGCGCCATGAGCTATCTTTCTTCGGAATGAGCAAAGCCGGCACTGCACATGGGCTTAAACTGCGTCGAACAACCCCCACTGTATCAACTCCTCTACCTGACGACGTAACTCCTCGTGTTCTGCCGGGCTCATACGATAGTGAGGGCGATTAGGCAGAGAAGCTCCGGGCACCAAATCGATATGATGTTGAATGTCTCGAAGCGGAGGAAGGCCGGAGGGTAACTCTTAGGAAAGACATCAGAAAACTCAACCAGCAATGGATGGATAACCGTCGGCGGGGCCGTAGGGGGTGACATATCTGCGACCAAGAAAAGCAAAACACACGGCGCTTCCCGAAATTCGCCAGCAACGAATGGGACAACAAAAGAACCTGCAGAGGCATCGGCGACGGCGATGGACGATGGGGCGAAGGATGAAGGACCAACCGAACCCCCTCAAACATGAAGCTGTATGTGTTAAGACGACCGTCGAAAGCCACCACGCGACAAATTGCCAAGGTCGGCCCAATAAGAGATGCCACGCGTCCATGGAGACCACATCACACCACGCGGAGTCACGATACTTGGGCCCGATGGAAAATTGGACCAACACCCGACGGTCCACGGTGATGGCGTTACCTCGCTGTATCCACGCCAAAGTGTACGGCTGAGGGTGCGGTACCGCTGATAAATGAAGGCGTTCCACCGCATCCTGGGCAACCACATTTTCACAAGAACCAGAGTCAATAATAAAACGACAGACACGGCCACTTACCGTACATGTTGATTCAAAAATATGGTGACGCTGCAAAGACTCCATAGTGTCAGAAACTCAAGGTGCCAAACACGAGCGGCGAAGAACCAAAGCCTGGCCCTCGTCGCCACACAGATGCTCCTCTTCCAGGTCGGGCTCGACATCAAATTTTGGCGGTCCATCATAAGTAACCTCTGCCGAGCCGTCAAAGTCATCTGCCAGTAGAGCCCGAGAGCCGTTGCGGCGGGGACAGGCGGACTGACGGTGGCCGGCCTCACCACAGGAAAAACATCAGGGCCCACCTCCAGCGCGCGACCCCTCCACCCTAGCCGAAGCTGAGCCAATTCCGACGCCGTGTTGGTCGATGCCCCAGCCGTTGAAAAGCCGACCGTCCCAGTCGAGGTGCTGTGACTGCCCGTTGCCGGTGACTGGTTCGGCCCGGTTGAAGAAGACGACAGCCCTTCTACACGTGGTTGAAAACTCGATGACGGCAAAGGACGCCGCGACTGTTGTTGCTCAATGAGTAAAGCCCTTTGATGAGCGGCAAAGACGGTTTCCAGGGTAAACATGTTTAACATGTCGCGAATTGCTAGTCGCAAGCCTCCAGCATAACGACACACCTTTTGAGCCGTCGTCTCACGTAACTGGACACGCGTAAGGAGACGATAGAAATCCTCCGTGTACTCGTCCACGGGTCGTGCACCTTGACGTAAATTATGGAGTTGTTAATATGTGGTACTGACGTAATTGAACGGAAGAAACTCCCGTTGATACGTCTCCGAAACTTGGCCCATGTCGCGATTTTAGGTTTACCCAGTAGACGCCTCTCGTCCTTGAGATGCTGGCACCAGGCGACTCCCCGGCCACGTAGCCGAGTGCCGACAATCCCAACCCGATGGTCGTCTGGGACGTCCTTGTATTCCAAAACCGCCTCGACCGAAGCAAGCCAATCCAGAAACTCGGCTGCGTCCAGCCCACCCGAGAACTCCGTGATCTCAACGTGAAACGCACTCTCCCAACGCCTTTTGCCGCGCAGGTCGTCATCTGCACGTGGATCCGCTCGCCCAAACGGATTACCCTCCTCCTCCGTAGCGTCCGAGTTGCTGCCCTCCTCCTCATACGGCGCACGTCGGCCACCACCAATCGCGCGTGACTGCGACCCCCACGGCCACCACGCTGCCCACTTCGACCGCCGTCCCGATGATCGGGCCCGTCACGGTTTGTCTGGTCACGTCGCATCAAAGTTTGGAGGGCCTCGCGAATATTCTCCATACCCGCCGCCAAATCTGACATATCCCACCAATTATATTGAAAACGTTATTATAATATTATTTTTCCCGTTTACACATTCACGTTTTAGAGAGGTACTTTGTTTTCTCTGCGACGATTTTTATATATATTTCTTTAAATAATCAAATAAAAATATGATTGGAATTTGAGTAACAAACTGTGATAACATGCTCTTGAGGTAGATATTGAGGCAACTGTAGATTAAAAAAATTGAACTTATATATTAATATAATATTTAATTAAAGAGATTTTTGTTTGTTTTTTTTTTCGGTACAATGGAAGAGGCTAAACGCCTAGAGAGTTAAATTGCAAATGGGTCGTGGATAAGTCACGCCAATTAGATCATGTTGTAGCCAGTGATGAATACCCTCGGTGAATCATGAAAGAACGGGTACCCCAAAGGTCCTTCCGCCGCGAAGGAAGCCAGGAAGTCGGCCGCATAATTCACTTCACGGAAAACGTGTTTCACCTTAACCTACCACGGGTGACGTAATAGTTCCTTAATAACCGACACTAGGCCTGCATGTACACCCGAAACATCTTCAGGAGATGAGGCAAAGGCCACGGCACTAGCATTGTCAACCTCGACTTCTACGTGTCTATGCCCCAAAGTCCAAGCGAGAGAGAGTCCGAGAGTCCCCGAAATAAACCCTATAACTCTGCCGCCATGATCGAACAAACGCCTATATTCATTGTGAACCCTCCAAGCCAATGGCCTTGTTCATCGTGGATCAGGCCTCCCGCACGACCCATACCAGACGACGGATTAAAAGAGCCGTCCGAATTTACTTTGACCCATCCCGATGGAGGTTTCTCCCAACATATCCATTGTGATGTTCTCGAACGGCCCGTCTCCCCCAGCTTGTTGGCACCAATAGTCACCCTCGCCATCCCCTCGATGTACGTGGAAATTTCGCGAAGTCCGCTGATGACATCACGTTTCTTACCCTGGAAGATATTCTCATTCCTCCATCTCCATAACTTCCACACGACCACCCCAAAGGTGCAAGCGCAGTCATCGCCCCCTATATTGCGCGACGAGTAGACCAAGTTCGAAAGCAACCACTGTTCTAAATTTGAGAAGAGAAAACCCTGATGGACTGAGCTTGGCATCCACCTCTTCCAAACCTCGGTGGCTAAGGGGCACTCACGGCACACATGTAAAATAGTCTTCTCATCTTGACTACATACCTCGCAGAGGCCCGTAGCACTCAAGTGCCGCCTTCGCCTTTCCACGTTAGAGATCAGACGATCTTTTGCTAGGAGCCAAAGGAAATGCCGGACCCGTTGGGGACCCGGCCAATGCCAAACAGCCTGCCATAAAGGCCTCGGACCCAAACGCTGCGTACCTTCATCGTCTAAGAGCTCATATGCAGAGTTAATGGTGAACTTACCGGTGGCCGAAAAACCCCAGTAGAGCTGGTGGCGACCGAGAGCTTCTTGAGATTAGGGCTTATTGAGTTATTTCTGATATCCAAAATTCTCGAGATACTTTATCTGGTAAATGCGTACAAAGTCAACCAACGACATTTTAAAGTACCAAAGTTGCTTCTCAGAAAAATTGCAATAAAAATTTGGATAAAGAAAGGGGCAACAATTTTGAACCTAATTACAGGTCATTTTAATTCACTTTAAACAGAAGCGATCCAACAGGTGCACTTCACCATATCTACAGTGGAACTCTTTTTTTTTTTCTGAATATTATTATTTATTTAATATGTAATACAATATTATTTTCATTTCAATAAACAATTTAGACTAAAATTACTATTTTAACTAGAAAAATAAAAATTATTTATCATCACTGAAAGTGCCCGTTACAAGACCCAATTAGCAAGGGCCTGACACGTTAGATGACTATTGAAACAAACCATGCCTTTTTTTCCGAACACAAATCTGAATTACTTGAAACCATAAATAATGCTCAAAAATTCACATCAATAAAACAATAAGTTTGATGGGATTTTTGTGATTTTTATTTTCCTTTTTTCATTTTGCACACCATCTCATGCACCCAGTCAACTCATAGTCAACGGCTTTCAAATTCAATCTGAAATGTGTCATCAAGAATAGCCCAAATAGGCCATGGCGTTTTGCCTCTTCAAATCCTTATAGAATCTGGCGATGAACTCCTCCGCCGCCTCATCCACCACGCGGCTGTCCTCCTCGCTGTCCCTCACCGGGAAAGGGGAGTCCGTTATCCTGAGCTGCCTCACCATCGGGCTCGGCCCGAACCCGGGCAGCGCCGGCGAGGCCCCCGCGCTCAGCCCCACTATCTCAAGCGCAGCCGCCAGCGCCCGGGCGTCCAGCGGCGACGCGACGGCGCGGCGGCCGAAGATGAGGGGGCTGTTGCCGCAGCTGAACTCGTACTCGGCGGCGGTGCGGCGGCCGGCGGTGGGGCTGTGGTGGTGGTGGTGGAACATGAGGTTGTGGATGGCCGCTTTTCCGGCGATCTTGCCGCGCTTCATGAGGGTGGCGAGGTCGGCGAGTAGTTTTCCCTTGGAAATGCCTTTTCTCACCATTAAGTACACAACTCTGATTATTTTCCATATTTTTTTGGTTACGATTGGTAGATTTTGCTCCATTTTTGTTTTATTTTGTTTTGTGGAGAGAGAAAGTAGTTGGAATATGAAGGTGCAAGTTGTGAGTGAACTGTATTTAAAGGCCGAGCTGGAGGAGGAAGACGACAACACAAATTAAACTGTATATACGTCATTAAATTACCCAACTTGCACGGAACTTTCATGCTTTTATTTGAATAATAATAATAATAATAATAATAATAATAATGATAAATTTGCATTTTATCAATTATTGATTGGGGTACCACCGTACTAGTCCAATCCAAATGTCCAATAAATAGTTTTACTATCTTATATTCTGAAAAAAATTGTATTTGTATGTAATTATCTTGTCACGGGTTACCAATCACAATGATAGAATGATACATAATACAAATACGATATGAATAGAAATCATATTATAGAAATAAATGACATGAAAAATATAAAATAATTAATTTAGTTAAATATGGACGAGTCATGTCCACATTCAATAGTAACAAAAGTCTAGGGCGAGATGAGTCAATTATTAGGCTATGTTGGGTAAAACTAACTGATAAGCTAACTGATAACTGATAAGTTAGCTTATGGTTATGTTTGTTAAACTAGCTGATAAGCTAGTTGATAGCTGATATAGCTTATCAGTAATTTTTTAGCTTATAGCTTATAGCTTATGACTTATAGCTGAAAAGCTAGCTTATATGATAAAAGTGTTTGGTAAAATTAGCTAATAAGCTAGCTGAAATAAAAAATTCAACTAGCTTATTTGAAAAACTACTCAAGAAAGTTTATCAAATAAGCTCGAGCTTTTTATAAAAGCTCGTCCTACCAAACGAGACTTATTTGAATACATGGAACTTATAAGCTAACTAAATAAGCTATAAGTTAACTTATTGGTCTACCAAATATAGCCTATAGCTTATCCGTAGTTTTCGAGCTTATAACTTATAGCTGAAAAGCTAGCTGATATGGTAAAAGTGTTTGGTAAAATTAGCTGATAAACTAGCTGAAACAAAAATTTTAACAGGCTTATTTGAAAAGCTACCCAAAAAAGCTTATCAAATAAGCTCGAACTTTTTAAATAAGTTCGTCCTACCAACAACAACAACAACAACAACAACATAGCCTTTAGTCCCAAGCAAGTCGGGGTAGGCTAGAGATGAAACCCAAGGGAAACACAAAAAAGATTCGAACCAAAAGGAAGAGATCGAAAAAAAAAAAATAAAAAAAAATGATTCTTATAAGCTAACCAAATAAGTTATAAGCTAGCTTATTGGTGTACCAAACATAGTCTTACTATTATTAAATTGGTATGTTTGCAAATATTTCCATAGGTATTTAATTACCCGACAAAGACTGAAATGTTGACGACAGTAATTGAGTTTTATTTAATATTCCATCCACTACGCTCAAACGTCTGAATTAATATGATTCTTTAAGTGGTATTTCAGTTGAAGAATTTATGTTGGAGACGGGAAAACGTTATTTATTTATTTATAAAATTTATTGAGGGTCTTGAAAGAATTCATTGTGCGTGGGATATAAAAATAAGCTGTAAATAAATATGAACCGCAAATATATTAAAAGCTGGGTGCATAGAAGTTACAACACCTCATATCACGAGAAAATTACAAATTTGGTCTTATAACTTTGACTGTTTCTACATTTGGTCCAAGCACGCTATTTATGATCATTTTTAATTTTTCGTTGCCAAAATGATCCCATTCCGTCAAGACTTAACAGTCTCGCTTATTAACTATTAGTCAATGTTCACAGCTAGAAAGGAAAGAATCAAATTATAGTACTAAACTTGCATTTTTCAAACGAGTGAGACCATATTTGTAATTATTTTTTTTTTAAAAAAAAGAAAAACGAGTTCTTCAAGTTTGTATAGAAGAGGTGCCATATTATTTTGATGTTTAATTTAAAAGTGGAAAATTGACTTCTTGTTTAAAAGTTTGATTTACTTTAAAATATTTTTTGAATGAAAATTAAAATTATATTTTTATCTTATTGTGCACTTTAATTTTCAAAATTGTATGCCAAAATATTGTTCATTTTTTGGAACATTTTATTTGTCCTATTTTATTGAAACATTAACATATCAATAAATTTGTTTAATAATCCAAATATGTTTAAAAGAGTAGGTGAGAAAATATATTTTAAATTTTTTTTATTAGCAACATTTTAAATAAAGTTTTTAGTAAATGTTAAAAAAGGTATATTACCATTCTTTTCTAACAATACATTTAGTTTGTTTGTTAATAAATTATAAAAGATAAATATAACTGATATACAATTATTTCACAAGTTTTAATTTTTTTCGCAACTTAAAAGAGTAAGTGATAAAAATTATTTAAATTTATTTTTATTAGAAACATTTTTTAAAAAAGTTTTTAGTAAATGTTAATAAGGTATATTGCCATTCTTTCCTAACAATAC